GTCGGAACACCGCCAGATTCCCCGACTGTACTTTCCAAATTGATTTTGTAGCCGGTGCAAAAACATTTCAAGCTTACAAACACTACAAACTACACTATTACTAATTATTAAACCTTATTTAATAAATAACAATGTATTCAGCTTATTTAATATGACATCAAACACGCATTGTTAATTTTGTACTTTATTATTTAATAATTATTAATAAACTTCTGGATGGAAACTATTGCTTAGGATTTTTTATACCAGATATTATCTATTTATTGCATTGTTTCGCGTCTAATTTTAATAATCTAAAAGTATTTATTGAAAAAAAAAACATCTACATAAAAAAGATTTGAAAAAATTGCCAATATTTTACATTATTTTTTTTTTCTTAATAAAAGAAATAGTAAAAAATTAAAATACTCTAAAAGAAATACTTACACTATTATTAAAATTAAATGCAATACAATTTTGTGTAAATGTTGTAAAATAAGTCTTAATTATTGCTAGTTTTGTTTCATTTTGATATGAAATTATTATTAATTTTACAATATATTATTAATTTATACTAATCGCCAACACTAATAGATAATGAAGAAACGAGAGAGATGTATCAAAAGTATAGCGCGCTCGCTCGCACATATAGCTCTTGAAAGAATAAATAGTGATGTGCACATCACATTATCGACATATCGATGTTTTTTTACTGATTTATTAAATTTCAGAATTTTTGAATCAATTGTAAAATAGGTAATAAATCTATTTTATTAATATTTGGCGATTAGTGCAAAATACGAACATTCGATTTACAGATAATGTAGAAGTTAAAACTACAATTTACAGTATTTATTTTGATCTAAACATTTGAAGAAATATAGATTTGTATTAGATAACAATATTAGAATCATTTTGGAAGACGAAAGAAACATCTTTAAGAATTTATGAATTATTTTATAGTTAAGATAAAAACTGGAATGTAGTAAGATTGAATTTCTATTAAAAATAATTAGAAAAATAATTTTATTGACGTTTTTAAGAGTATTTTGACAGTGGAAATACAATGTTTTCACTATATCTGATTGCTTATTTTCAAAGGAGTTGTTTCTAGATTGTTGAATTGCCAAAGAAAGTTTTAAAACGCTAATATAAGAAAGAATTATTTACTAAATTTTGATTTGTTTACCATACAAGAGTAACTTATAGTATTAATATTTTTTTTTTAAATGAAAATTTATATATTTAATATTAAAAGATTCAATAAAATTAAAATATTAATATAAATAAATATAATACTGTTATAAATAAATTTAAAAATAATACTTTTTGAGTATAAGTTGAAAATAAAACTTAACGTTACGTAGTATTTCTTTTTAATTTATTTATTATAATTATTTATGTATTTATAGTTTATTATTAACTAATAGGGCATTGATAATTTAGGCCGTTTTACGCAAAACTAAAAGTCCAACCGAAAGTTACGGGAAACACTTTCGCCCGCGACTCCGTCCGCGTGAAATTAAAAAAAACAAAAGTAAGTAGCCTTTGTGTTCTTCCAGACTGTCTTCTACATCTGTACCAAATTTCATCGAAATCCATTCAGCTGTTTAGGCTACAAACTCTAACAAACATCCATCCATCTAAACTTTCTCATTTATAATATTAGTATGAAGTCTTAGACCACACATTGGTGTTATTTTTAAATAAACTTTGATTTTGCGAATATCGTATTTTATAAATTATTATTTTAAGCATCGCCTAAGTTATCGCTAAATTTAGCTGATGTTTTAGAAATGTTTAGTATATTACCTTTAAAAATGTTGTTAAAACGTCAATTTTAAATAATTATTGTTTTAATCAATTCATATGAGGTTTTTTTTAATCGACTTTCAAAAACAAGTTTCTTATTTCTTTATTTTTTAACAAATTATCGATACTCATTTTCTATCGAACATCACTACTTGTAAACACTTACGTATAAGTGAACTCTTATTACCTAGTACTTAAGGTTCAATTTCTAACGCTAGTAATATCACGTGGTAATTATTGTGAGACTTATGCGGTGGTGATAAAGTTCAAAATTACGAAAATTACGCTACATTCGAGACTAAATTATTACTTAAAAATCAATAAATATAATAAAACTAATTGTTTAAACGACTTCAAGAAATATACTTGAATTTTGCATTCATTTAGAATTTCTAGGTTTGTTCATACAATTTAATGAATTAATTTCTTATATCAAAATAAAAATAAAACGGAATTGAGTATTCTAAATTTTCTTATAGAATGTACTAGAATTATCACTTAGTATTCAAAATTCAACCGTATTCCGAATAAATAGGAAACAAATTCGCATTACTTTATAAAATCAACATTAGCTTAATAAAAAACAATTGCAATTCACTAAATTGCTTCACCAAATTTTTTTACGCGTGACATTTAAAATTATAACCTATAACTATAGCAATAAGGTTCAATATATTATACATTCAAAGCCAAAGATTAAATTATCTGTGAAATTCATTTTCATTCAAAAATAAACATTAACTCAATTGCATTAAGATTCAAAATGCTACTTTAGTACACAAATAAATCAATTTGATCGTGGTGCGTATCAATCGAATGTCTACCTTACCGCTACGTAATGAAGGTTCAATATCTAGTGTCGGGCGTGTGGGGCGTGTGGGGCGCGTGGGGCACGTGCGGGGAGTGCGGCGAGCGCGGCGAGCGCGGGGAGCGCACGGCGACGCCGGCCAGCCGCTCGCACACCGCCTCCAGTTGTGCGTCCAACATTAACGACGCTATTTGATCGTCCGTTAACATTTCCACACTGAAATTTAAATAATACATAAATATATATGTGTAATTTAAAAAAATGTAAAATATAGCCTTTGTTACTCAGTGATAACAGCATAACATATAAGGAGGTTGTTGTTTTGTTTTTAATTTATTTATTTCGATGTTTACATTTCGTGGAAAGAAAAAAGATGACGAGTAAAAGATGTATTTTCGAAGAGTTTGTTTATATGATAAAAAGAAGTGAGATATCAAGTCACGAGTCACCCCTGCATGTATGTGGGATGATTTAGTTGTTTTTTTTTTAAGTTTTATTTTATATTAGTCTTATATGTCAGATGTCAATTCGAAAAGGAAGTATAAAGAAAAAACGTCTGTGATTATTGGAAATTAAAATAAAAAATTATGTTATATACACTTATTCCAGTTATATGCAACGATCCCACAGTATGTAATCATACCTGGGCAGACTGTCCGTGTCGGAATGTCTATCGGATGAGGCGGAGGACGCGGTTGGCGAGCGGCGGCGCGGCGTGCGCGGCGCTGACCCCGACCCGCGCCGCTCCCCGAACAACGATAGACCTGGATGTTTTTTATGATGATAAATGAACAACCGGTTATTAGAATTCGCTAATTTAGCGAAACGCGGAATAGGCATCCACACTTATATATGTGTTGCCTAATCAAGAGGGGACACATAGAAAGAAGGAGTTCCTAGTAAGCAAAAAATTCCAAACTTATTTCTAAAATTTCTTATGTCGAAAACAAAACCATATTATATTGTAATTTCTTTTTAAATCGAATTTCGGAATTACTAAAATGGCAACATTCAGTTGCCGCTCACTGATTGGTCAAAATATGACGCTTTTAAATTTCATTGTTTAGGTTATAGTGATGGGACTCGAGTAATTTTTTTTCACTCGAGTCACTCGGTGCTGGTAACTTATTCAATCGAATACCACTCGAGTGCAGATAAGATTTAAGTGATTTTTATTGGCTCGAGTCGATCGAAATATAAAATTGGAGTAACCAGAATTTTAAAAATTATTTTTCTCGGTAACTTAACCACTGGAATTGCACGAGCCACTCGTCTTTAGAGTCAACTCGAGTCACTCGAAACTCGAGTTGTCAAAAATTTCACTCGAATCCGAGTAATACAAAAATTACTCGAGTCACTCGAGTGAAAAGTATCTCGTGTCGCTTCACTATTAGGTCACAAAATTGCCAACTGCCATGATCCTTGTAGATCTATATGTCCTTTTTCAAATTCACTATAATTTTACACTAAAATCTAAAAAAAATGAAAAAGGTAGAAAAAAATTACTTTAAAGTATAAGAATTTATGCTATATTTCGTCTAATAAGTAAATTGAATCGCAAACTATTCATGTATTCATGTATTTTAAAGTTTTAGATTCCCTACTTGCACTATAACAGAACATACCTTGAAACATTTCCTTGACTCTTTCCCCTGTATCATGAAGTAAAGCGTCCAAACTCTGTCGTCGTGCATTCTGCAGCTCAGCTCTCAGTTCATTCCTCAGTTCGTTCCTTAGTGTTCGTTCAGCGCGGATTATACGTCTCGGAGACGCGGCTGATACTTTAGACTCTAAAGGACTGGGCGGCGATGGAGTCTTTTCGGGAGTAGACCGCGGACGGAGAGAACATTTCTCGAAGCTTATCTAAAGAATTACAGATATTGATGGTTTATTGGTTTTTGAAATAGTTTTTTCAAGTTGATTTAATAAAAAAATCCAATAAAATACGTAGCAAGTGTAGTTCATGTTAAGAGAACTTTAAGAGCCTTTCCCACTAAATTGTAAATTGTCTGATAACAATCCAACATGTATAATGTGATGGAAATATCAGATTTTGTTACCTTATCTGACAGTTACGCTATTTTTAAGCTATCTGAGCCTCTATCAGCCAGTGTTGGGACAAGGGAGTAATTTAAAAAATAATACAGTTTATTTTACGATGAAAGTATCTAAAAATGTTAACACAAACCAAATTCTTTTAATTCATAATTATATAAAAAATGAAATTGTTATTGGATGTAGTTACTAGCTGTCGCCCGTGACTCCGTTCGCGCGAAATTAAAAATCTTTATTAAAAGACTGTATTCTTCAATATTACTGTGCCAATTTTATTTTACAGGACAATCAAAATATAAAATACAAATACAGTTAAGTTTAAAAAAAATCTTACTGATATTATAAACTAGTTTTAAAAATTCCTTCACTATTCGAAAGGTAATTTATCTGCGCGTAACATATTTTAATATCACACGGACGAGGTCATCAACAGCTAGAAATAAGCTATTTTACTGACCTCCTCCGGGCTTGAATAATCGAGGTCTATCTCCGTCCATGTATCGGAGTCGTGCGGGCGCGGCCGCTGAGCGTCGGCCGCACGGCGCAACCATTCTCGTACACTCGCGTCAGTACTCGACGCGCAAAGCTCCTCCATCTCACTAGTGTTTTCACTATTGGTATCCGTGAACGTTAGGCGCTCTATATCTGGTAATACCAAAGATTTTTTTTTATATACAAACGAGTCAGCGGCCACCTAAATCCACCAAAATGGAAAGCGACCGCTGCCCATAAACATCCGCAATTGCAGCGTTGCCTACCCTTAATTGACGGAGACATTTCCCCTTCCCTTCCCTTTCTCCTCCACCCTCAAATCCACTTTTCCTTCCCATCCTTTCCTTTTAAGAAATGGATGGCAAGGGAAAGGGACTAAAATTAGGCCTCCGGCACCACACTCATCACACTGTACGCGGAATTGCTTCCACTTCACGCCTGTTTTCTGTATGGTCGTGGTATTACACCGGGCGATCCGGCCCTGCAGTGCGAAGACGTTAAAGCGGGCTCTACTACTGTTAAAGTTACACATACTAATATACAGGATGATTTTTAAAAGCAACAAGATGAAGTCCCGTGTTGCCAATTGGGAAAAAATCCCAGATATCAAGCAACAGTTTAGAGCAGAGGGTACTGGTTCCACTGGAGATCCCGGGATCCTCAAATCGCACTTAAGGACGGCCACCAAGGGGTTTTTTAATGAATAGAAATCTCACATAACCCTGTCTTTTATAAAAAAAAGACAGGGTTCTTTCGAAGATTTCCCCCCCCCCTCCCCTTCGATAACAAAAAAATGGACGTTATGGAGCAAATTTTAATCTATTATATTCTTTGAGCTTAAACGGTAGTTATTAAAGTTTTCTAACTAATGAAGCCCTTGATCCGTCCATTAAGAATCATCCTGTATAGTTAACATATGACGCTATCTATCGATGGAATCAAAACCACATATCAATATATTGTATTTAAATTAATTGTTGTAAGTGTTATTAAATAACATTGAAATGGGTTATATTTTATTTACTAAGTTTCTTTTGTTTATTTGATAATAAAACGTTACTGGATTGTCCGCCTTTTTATAAAAACCTACGTCGTAGTTTTTTTAAATACCACCGAAAACAGACACTACAGGAAAATCACATTAAGCAATACCAGCTATCAAGTAGCCATAATCTGAACTAATAAGATTGAATGTGGATTTCTCTTATTCCCTTAATCTTTGACACTTTTTGAAACGGACAAATTTTCTATTTTCTAGCTATTTAAATAATTATAATATTACCATTCCTCGTAGACTGTCGCCTTGACCGATGTCGATGTATTTCATCGGATATTCTTTCAAGATTTCTTAACGCTGAAGAATATTGCTGTTTCGCTTCCGCAACTTGCTCCTCTAACGTTTGGATGCGAGCCTTTTGCGCCTCGAGAGCTGCGTTAATTCGCGCCTTCTCTTCAAAGTACGGTCTGAAAATAAAATACCCTGCTCGAAGGACCAGACAATAATTCACAGATTTTTACAACTTTAAGCATGAATTTAACTTTAATAGTGTAGTTATACCTTGGATACTTAAAATTGATACATTTTTACATGTACTTAGCTTAAATTTAATAATATAATATGTTACCTTTACATACAAATCAAAAAACTACTATAGATAGAAAGAAAAATTACAGAAAATAAGCTCAAATATTAAGTTAAATCAATAATCAAGGGCCTGTCCCACCAAATTGCACATTGTCTGATTATAATCCACCGTGTAAAATATATGATTGAAATATCGGATTTTGTTACCTGATAGTGACCTTATCTGACAGTGACGTCATTTTTAAGCTATCTGAGCCTATCAGCCAGTGGTGGGAAAGGCCCTGTATGTTCAAATTAATGAGTACATGCAACATCTACAAGCATAGACTATTTTTAGTATAAAGAAAGCATGCAGATATAAAAAGAAATAAAAAATATACCAAACGTGAGCATTGCATGGCGGCGACGTCGTTGCCTGTGGAAGAAAAACCATTCTGTGCATACTAAAACTATAAGCTTAGGTAATTGTGCAAGCTAATGTACAAAAGATACTCTTTGTTAGTTCTAAAGCAGGCACTTAGAAAGTTAGCTTTACAATTTGGTAGAAAATCCTATTTTAATTCATGGCAACACCTTTAAAAGTGCATGTCGGCGATTAATAGCATCCATTAACTATTTTCAGGCATTTGTTTTAGAATTTTATTATGATGTAGTCAAAATATGTTTTTTAACTAACTTCGTAAGCGCGGAATTAAGAAAATAGTAAATAGTTAATAGTTCTAGTTAAATAGTTCTAGAAATGTTCTACATCTGTGTCCTATTTCATCGAGATCCATTCAGCAGTTTAGGCTATAAACTCTAACAAACATCCATCCATCCAAACTTTCGCATTTATTATATTAGTAAGATTGAGAGGTCAAAAATAGCTTCACCCTTCTATAATAATTGACTTGAGTCCCTCTAGGAATATCGGAATTAAATTTAAAGATAATGCGCGGTTTACACTTATCCAGTACAGTTGGACAGTTGTGACATTCATAGATTGTATAGATTCAATGTTCATCGTCCACACTATACCAGTTTGTCAGACCAACTGTACTGGCCTAGTGTAAACCAGGCTTAATACCTGGATTTGGCTATATGTCGCTTTAATCCGTTTTGCAGTTGCTGCACCAAAGTGGCAGCGGCGCGGTGTGCCGCAGCCTTAGTGCGCTGTGTCACCGTGGCCGCCGCCCGGTCTGCCTCAGCCTTAAAATTTGTTTATAACTCTAATGGTTGCTTTAATATATTTCATACTATTTTCTTCATTAAATACATATCTTTTTAATTATTTAAAAGATAATTTTATAGAAAAAAAAATAGAAAAATCAGAATTAAACTGTTAGACAGTAAAAATTCCGTTAGTATTTTTAAGAAATTTTACAAAAAAGGCTTTAGAGAATAATTCTTACGTAGTGCCCGCTTTAACATCTTAGCACGAATGGGCCGGCACGCCCCAGGTAATACCACGACCACACAGAAGACAGGCGTGAAGTGGAAGTAATTCCGTGTTTCGTCTGATGAGTGTGGTGCCGGAGGCCTAATTTAAATTCCTTTCTGTGTACCACCCTTTTCTTATAAGGAGAGGATGGAAAGAGGAAGTGGATATGACGGTGGAGGAGATGCATAGGAAGGGGAAATATTCTTTTTATGTGCGTCTCCTCCTCCGTCGTATTAGGGTAGGCAACACATCTGCAATTGCGGATGCCTATGAGCGGCGGTCGCTTCGCCATTTAGTCGGATTCAGGTGGCCGCTTGCTCGTTTGCCACCTTATGTTATAAAAAAAATCGTTTTGAAAGGATTTAATTTTATTACCGCTGTAAATTGAATTTCTGAGTAAAACTTTTTTGGTCCTTCAAGCAAGATTTTATACTAACATCGAGAAGTATACATATTCAAATACATATTTATTACATTTCTTTTAGTATTATACTTTGTTCCTTTCACATACCTGGTTAACTCTATGTGTAGCATGGTTGAGCATTTCCTGCCATGCTGGGTCCAGGGTAAGTCCACCTTCTGAGCCCTCCGCAAGTCTAGCAAGTCCTTGTTCCGCAAGGTAAACCATCTCTCTTGCAGCCGCGTGCGCACTATTAGCCTTGTCATATGCCATTGTTGCTGTTTGTAACTCTTGAGACGTCTACAAATTAAAAAAAAAAACAAGAGCCTTAAAATTCTCTTTGGTATTTAGTTTTATTTGTGACTAGCTGTTGCTCGCGGCTTCGCCTGCGTGAAATAAGAAAATATAGCCTATGATATTTATAGATAAATTATCTTTCTAAAGGTGAAGTAATTTTTAAAATCGGCCCAGTAGTTTTTGACTTATTTCAACACATAAAAACTACAAATCTTTATTTTTTATAATTTTAGTATAGATAGGTTTTGTAATGTTTTTGAATCCACCCATGGAAATCAAAACTTAATAATTACCCTATGTGTTCTTTGAGACCATTTTCTACATCTGTGACAAATTACAACAAAATATGCTAAGGCATTCTGGAGATAACTTGTAAAAAACTTCCATCCATCTATCTTAACTTTTCAATGTAAAATATCAGTAAAAGACGTAGGAAATAAAAAAAAAAACTTAGATGCAAAAAGTTAAACATGTAAATTCCTGCAAATATCAATATGTGGGATTTCTACTTGTTTTTGATTGTTAAAATATTCAATGCCACTATGATTTTCACATATCATTGTTAACTGGCTAGGTGATTCAGAGGCACTAATTACAATTACTCCATTTCAACAGAGTATAGCCCATTTCACTAATTTTGGGGGCTCAAGGTCAAAAGGATGCAGTACCATTCCCTTGCCTTAAGTTACATTTATAATTGTGATCTATGCATTCTGAGCCAGCAAGATAATTGAATACCTCAATACTCATGTTACTTTAACTCCTATAATACTTACAATATTTGCTCTAAATCTGGCTTCATAGTAAGGCCTTGCTTTATGCACGCTGGTGCCGAGTTTCTTTGTCAACTGCTGAATACGTAAATGTCCTTCTGCAAGGAGACGACGGAATGCTAGTCTTGCCTCATCCAACTCAACTTCTAAACGGTTTATCTCATCTGTGGCTGTGTTTAAGCGTTCAAGTTCTATCTGGAAATTAAATTTCAATTTATTTTAACATGGAAATATATGAAAATGCTACTTATAATAATTCAATAGGATTCTTACTAGTTTTTATTATAATGTAAGTCATCTTCTTTTGATATTTTCAGTAATACACTACAATACTTATTTTTGTCTTCACTTGCATAAAAATATAGGATTTTCGATTAAAAAATTAATTTAACAATTCTTACATAACAAGTTATTTTATTTTATAGTATGTTAATAATTACTTTTTTGTTTTAACAAAAAAACGGTACGTTACATGTGATTAAATTAAAAGAAAATTAATTATAGGATATTGAATATTTATATTTACATTTACGGTTTTTAAAATAAGAAACTTTGTAGACTCTCCCGTAATTAGTTGAAAACTTAAATAAAAAAACTTTACTATTTTTTTGACCTTTTCAGATATGCCCTTGAAACTATCGATCAAATTTACCTGCACTCGAGGATCTAAGGCTTCAGAGCATTCGGCACCGCTATCGTTCATTGTTACATCAATTTAGGAGCATCTTATCAGAAGTTTAAACATTGAAAATAGATCTTTTCATACATCATATTGCATCAGATATATTAAACATCACAAAGCCATCGCTAAACAGCGAATTTCGGCAATTAATTTAGCAAAATTCGAGCTATCCGCACCACCCGTTCGATATCTTCTGTTTATTGTATTAATTTATTATCTGTGATAATGACAGACATCAGCGGAAACGTCATTTCGAGAAAACTGTACAGATAAATAAGATTTTTTGTTAGTTAATTTTTTTAACTATTGTTAATAATTTAACACAATATTTTTTTGAGCTAGGTACCCTCATTTAATTAAATACGAAATTGTTTTAAATTGATCGGGAAAAAAGTACCGTTAAACTTCCGTATTTGACAAATATGTTTGACAACGTCAAACTATGACTGACATTTAACATATTTGTACACTCGGCTGTGCATCTGCGTTGTACTTTCTATTACATTTAGTGAATAAAAACAATAATCATGGTATTTAAATCTACTAAGTACAATTGTGTTTGTGTATTATTATTGTAATATACAATTAACATATTTTCGCAGGCAACCGAAGTAGAAGAAACGATCAAAAGGATTCAAGCTCATAAAGGTGTAATGGGAGTAATCATTGTGAATCACGAAGGTTTGATCAATTTTGTTTAAAACCATGGCAACTGTGATAAATGTATTGAGGCCACCTGGATTATTGAATACTTATAATCAATAACCATAGTTATGAATGTTATACTTCAATATGGATTAAAAATCTTGTAAGAAAGCAAATGTCAAGAAAACTACAATAGGGGAACGTACTGTATTTACGTATATTTTATTCAAACGATGATTTTATTCAATTACATTTTACTTTTCAGGCATACCCATTAAAAGTTCTCTGGACAATGCTACGTCAGTGTTATATTCTGGTTTAATTGGTCAATTAACGGAGAAAGCCAAGAATGTTGTACGAGAAATGGTAATGAGATTTATTTAGTATTTGTTACTTGTCTTTTTCTATGTAGATTTAAAAAAAAATTGAAATACAAAAAGTAAACTTATTTATAAATGCAAAAGTTTAGATGGATGGATGTTTGTTAGAATTTGTAGCCTCAACGGCTGAACGGATTTCGATGATTGGCGTAGAAACACATAGGCTATTCACTTTAGTTTTTTTTTATTCCATGTGGATGGAGTCATGGGCGAATGTTAGTGATATAATATACTTCTAATTATTTTTTTATTTTTAAACTATGTAATTGTTTGCAGGATTCAACAAATGAATTAACATTCTTCCGAGTAAGAAGCAGGCGGCACGAGATTTTGATTGCTCCTGATCGTGAATTTATCTTAATTGTAATACAGAATACAGCAGACTAGTCATGTACCGGAATTGGTTCAGCTCTTATTTCCCTGCACACAATGTTACACAAACATAATAAGCTTCTCAATGATGATAAGGCTTAAATTGCTTTATTACCTGAAATTAGACACTAAACTTTTAACACTTGCAACTCAGAGGAATAGCATAGATAATGAAATTTCATTTTATGCAACACTTACACCATTATGCTTCTTTTAGTAGAAAGTTATTGTCAAGCTGGTAACACTATCTAATAAGAATAAACTATGTGAAACAATAAGGTAAATTAAATATAAACAGTTACGTTTTATATGCATTTTATGCTATTGGAAAAGCTTCACATATGTAATCAATAAATTGCGTATTTCATTTAGGTTATACATATTCTAAAAATTGTATGATTCGATATATATTTATGTTTATTTGTAAGAGGACTAAAGTAGGCTTTTAAATGTTACTGTGTAAGAAAAAGGTATTATATGTAAAACAGATAAGAAATGTGTTTTTTGTATCTTTTTGAGTTACTATAGCAAACTTTCTTGACACTTCATAATGTATCTTACATGTTGATTTCAAAATGTTTTTCTTCTTATATGTCATTAAAATTCAAACAGTTAAACAATTGCTTTTTTCTGTACATTTTGTCGTAAGCTATTGTAACACCATTATTTATTATAATTTAAATTTGATCTTGTTTTTTTCTTCAACTTCTACCTTATTACTAAAATCAAAAAGATAACTTTTTTTACATCTTATGGCTACGAAATACAATGTTTATTAGCCACTATACTGACTTATTAACCAAGTCAATATTAGAAATCGTTTTGCATGGGAAAAATACTGAATTAATAAATGATTGGTAGCTTTATTGGTTGGTAGTAGTTTTCAGTGTTTGAAAATTTGCCACAATTTGCCAATGGCAACCCTCAAAAGCTTGGTAGCGACATCTCCGGTTGTTATGTGGTTTAATATTTTGTCCTAATAATTTTAATAGCGCATGATTTAAGTCTATTTTGATATTTATTTCAAGATATAAACATGTCTGAAAAATACGATAAAAACGGGTACAATAGCAGTGATTTCAAACGTAATTCTAATCAAGATCCTAATGCTGAAAATCTTGGAGATCAAGATGGCGAAAACAACCCCGTTAATGAAAAAGCCGGTGAATATATGCGGGAATTGTTGAGTGAAAAGATTAAATTAAATAATGGGAAGTTTCCATTGTCGACGAGGCTTCTTGATCAAGGTAATTGTTATTGTTTATGACTAACGACATTTTAACTACATACATGGTTTTAATAAATTGTGCGATCTATTTGGTTCCCAAGTTGTATCACATGGATTTAGTTTAATAGAAAGTGGTTGACACTTCAAAATACATTATGGTTTTTGAAGGTGAGGTTTGAATTAAAAAAATACTTATAATTTTTTTAGAGGTGGTCAGAGTGCAAGCTAATGGTCGAGTGCCGCAGAACGACTCCAAATATGTTGATGTTTATAGAGACAAGGCGGTCAAAGTGACCGTTAAAGTGTTGGTACCAGTGAAAGATCATCCAAAGGTGAGTTAAGTAGAAATAGAGTAGACATTCCTTAATTTGGCAGGTCTGGGAAAAGAGTATACTTATGTCAAAAAAAAGCTCCTGTATATCATTATTTCTCCCTACTATTCCTTTAGTATGTTAAGAAATGTTCAATCTGCTTCAAGAAGACCTTGTTGCATATAAATGTTGTAGTTCCATTTGTAAATAATATGCATTTCCCTCGCAGTTCAACTTTGTGGGCAAGCTACTAGGGCCTAAAGGCAACACAATGAAACAACTGCAAGAGGAAACAATGTGCAAAATGGCTGTACTTGGCAGGGGCTCAGTAAGAGACAGGTAATTATACTGTACAACCATACACTAACTCTTAGCAATTAGTTAATCTCTAGGAGTACTCCTAAGTAGATTTATTTGCAAGTAAAGGACTGTAGGTACCATTAAATGGTCAAAATTAGATATTTCCCCTACAGTAATGATTCAACATCAATGATTTACCATATTTTAGACAGAAGGAAGAAGAGCTTCGTAACTCATTGGATCCTAAGTATGCACATTTGATGGATGAGCTCCATGTAGAGATATCTGCACTAGCACCGCCTGCAGAAGCTCATGCAAGGATTGCATATGCCCTAGCTGAGGTCAAGAAATATCTGATACCAGATTCAAATGATTTTATTCGACAGAATCAGATACGAGATATGACTGAAAGAGGTGAGTAATTTCTTACTACATTAGGTTATTTGTGTCCTTTCTAGAATATTTGATGATGGCAATATTTGTAATTTAGATAACTTGGATGCCATTGTTGTGTTATGTTTTATTGTACACTAGTTTTAGCCTGCAACTTCGTCTTCACAGAATTTAAATAAAAACTGATAATAAATGGAGTGTCATCTGGGGATAGTTTAGCTTTCGAATAGTGAATTTTTCTAATTGGTTTATTCAATACAAAAAATCAAATCTTTCCAGATATTTGTACAGATTTTAGTCCACCTAATGGATTTGGCTCAGAGTAATATTTTTATAACAGCTGTATCTTATCTTACTTGTTTGTCGTACCTTTTCAGTCTATACTTAGGCTCCTAGTGTTTTTTTGATAATTTCTTCAAATCCAATTTAAATATCATAGGCTTTAGTTTTTGACACTTTCATATTTTTGTCACATTATTTTAATTTTATTTATAACACTTTAGTCATGCCATTTATATTAGAGTACAGCAAGTCATCTAATTTTTTTTGTTTTTATTTTGTGTATGTTCAATAAATCAACTTAAGAAATGCTGACCAACAAAATCTGCAACAACCAGATTTTCTAACTAAAGGTTTGTTGTAGATGTTGGACCCGGTATGGGTCCTGGCCCAGGGCCTGGTCCGGGACGTCGTGCCTTGCTAGAGGGGCCTGAAGTAAGGGCCAAGAATGTTATGTACAGTGCATGTACCGTAACAAAACGGTCCTTCTCCTACAGAGACCCAATTCTTAACCAATCTGAAGGTATGTCTGTTCATTTTGACAATTTTTTGGTAATTATTGTCACCATTTGTCCTAGTAGCTTTAACAAGCCCAATAAATTTTAAATAAACACAAATACAAATATTTTATTGGTAATAGTGAATTAACAGGTTAATGTTAATAAATATACAGATATTCTGAATGTAAACTGTAGATTGTAGCACAAAAAATCCTCGATTCTATAAAGTTTTCTGGATAAATCTTCAAAGTATGGAACTACAACTACCTTATAATTTACATTCAGCATTATTAGAATTATTTTATTTTTATTTCAGTTGTTTTTTTTTAATATCACTTTTTATAAGTTGATTGGAGACATGAGATGGGTCAAATCTTAAGGTGAAAAAGCTTAAGTGACTGACCTCTGGATAAGGTCATTGTAATAAATCACTGTATTTATATAATTATGAAGTATTTTATCATAAATTATCTTTATTTTTCTCACCTTTCTTCTATCTTTATTGAGTGTAATGTTTACTTATAAAAAACTGTTATTTTTTTATTTGTTTTTTTTTTTACACAATGGCATCCAAGTATTCTGTAGGTCGGTAACCTTTTTACTGCCTCGGATCATGATTAACCCAAATGATACATTATAAGTAATTTTTTTGACTGTTGGATTGAAATTAGTCTCTACAGTATCTGGCCACTGTATTAAATACTTTGTAAAATTATAAGATTTTGTCAAATAATCTAAAGATTTTTTACAACTTACTAGCTTTCGCCTGCAACTCCATCCGCGTGGAATAAAAAAAAACAAAAGTGAGTAGCCTGTGTTCTTCCAGTCTATGCCAAGTTTTACCGGGATCCATAGAGATGTTAAGGCTACAAACTTTAACATCCATTCATCCATCCATCCATACTTTCGCATTTATAATATTAGTAAGAGGTAAGATTAATGTTATTTATTTTTTTCTAGCTCCAGGCGGTCGTCCTCTGCCGAACCGCGGAGCGCCAGGCAAGACTAAAGTGCTGAGCATTCTAGATAGGGCTCGCACAGCTATGGAGACTTCGTACCCCTATGAGGATCCATATGCAGTAGCTGAACCTCCGGTTAGTAAAATAACTATTTATAATACATACAAGTGATTTAAATCATTTAACTATAATCTAGTAATAGTTTAAGGTGGCAAACGAGCAGTCACCTGAAACGACGAAGCGATCGCTGCGCACAGACATCCGCAATAACAGACGCGTTGCTTACCCTTAATAATTGATGGAGGGGACGCACATAAAGTGGATATTTCCTTACGTATGCGTCTCCTCTAGCGGCAAATCCAGTATTTTTCTATCCATTCCATACAAAGTGATGGGCAAGGAAGTTGACTATTATGCCTCTGGCACCACACTCATCAGACTATACGCGGAATAGCTTCTATTTAATGCTTTGTGTATTTGTCGTATTACAATGGGCTAGCTCTAAAATGCGAAGATGTTAAAGCGGGCTTTATCACTGCTAGTCATCATCACCAGCTCACTATACTTCACCAACAAGGGGCTCGGAGCCTACCCTAAGTTAGGATGACTAGGCCATAGTCAACCACGCTGACCAACTGCGGGTTGACTTCACACATATCATTGAATTTCTTTGCCGGTATGTGTAGGCATCACAATGCTTTCCTTCACCGTAAGAGCGTCGGGTAAAATATGTACATATTAAATTGTAAAAAATGAAGCTCACATTGGTACGCCGAGATTCGAACCCAAGACCTGAAGATTATAAGTCAAGTGCTTACCACTGAGCCACTAATGCTCATCAACCACTGACTAACTGTTAGTCAAAAAGTTTTTTCATTTTTTTTTCTATTTTTTTTCCATTTTTTTTGTTTTTTCCCACTAGGTGCGCGGTGTGCCTCGTGTGCCACATGAAGAGTTCTACTACGACCGTGGTCAGGACCGGTTCTACGAGGAGCCGTACTACAAGGAGGAGAGGGAGTAAAAGCCGGTGCGGGACGTGGGCACTCGGCGCGCGCCGCGCTACCCCCGCGCAGCGCCATACGCACGACCGACCAAGTAGATCGTATGTTTGATGATGTAGGCATCGCCAAGGTTAATTCCACACTGATATACGATAAAATCCCCGATTAAATTTATTTTTGACCGACTACCCAAAAGCAGGTACTCAATTCGTATGTTTTTTTATGTGTTACGGTATAACTCCGCCCCTGGACCGATTTACAAATTGTTTTTTTGTCTGAAAGGTAGTGTCCCACTTTTTGTTAAATGTTTGTAGTCAAAGATTGCGGCGTAGTTAAATAGTTTTACTATTATAAATGCGAAAATTTATATGTTAAAGTATTCCAAACGGCAGATCTCGGTATTTGGCATAGATGTAGAGCATAGTCTAGAAGAACATATAGGCTACTAAATTTTTTAATTTCGCGCGGAAGCTAGTAAGTTGTTGCCTGCGTCTACTTCTAATGTTTATGTGTATAGTGTCGAAAAAAGATTTAGAAATGGAATATAAAAGTTGTAGTGAGTGATATTCGAACTCTGTTTTCTCACTATTTTTAAAAATTGAATCCTCACGTAAATGTAGGTGTTTTGTGCTGATGCAACCAAACAGCACTCTTAGAAGGAATAGAATTCAATCGCTTCCGTCATAATCGCATCAGTACTTTAGGCTGTAGACTCTCACAATGGAATTTACATACAAACAAACATAATACGCGCGAAAAACCTACTTTGTCAGTCGGATAAAAAAAAACAACTCTTTTTAACAAAACTTGTCCTAACTTTATACCTTGGTTGTGTCTATAATTTTTTTTATTTTTATTTCGATGCTTATTTCTTAATTGAATGATAAGAATAATTTAATTTTAATTGCAGATAATTTGCTTTTTGAAAATTTTATTTCTTTTGTGTTTTTGTGCAAAAAAAGAATGAAAATATATAAACTCATTTCACAGGAGCGCAGGTAAGAAACACGAACACCACGCGAGCGGTGAGTAAGAAAACGAAGGACGCATAATAAAAAATCCAGTAAAAAAAGAAGCAAAAAAGAAGGCCTTAAAAATTGAAAAAAAAAATTGCTATAAAAAAAAATCACCGCGGACAGTGTTTAAATTTTTCTCTTATTAATACGAACAAGTATATTTTTCTTATAAAATAAAACTTTATGTTTTAAATATTTACAAAAAAGGAATTTTTACACATTATGTCCTCGGCTATTAAGTCGATATTTCGAAAAAAAAAACTTTTTTTTTTTAAATTTTCTAATGAAATTATTACAAATTCAAATCTTAGATTATAAAATTTATATGCTTAAGATAATGTTTTATAAAACGTTAAAGCACTCTTAAAATCAAAACTTATTACGAAAAAAAATAGTTTGTATTTTCTCGTTTAAACTATCAAAGTTTGTAGAATTTAATGTGTGACTAGATTTAAAATAATAAAAATCTTTTAAAACAGAAAACCGTGATTTTTAATTCAAAATAGCACCAGATGGAAGACAAAAGAAAGTTAAATTGCATGAAAAAAATATTTATTGGCCGATTTATAAAAAATCTTAAATACTGATTTAAAAAAATAATAAAAAAGATCGTGTAAACACAAAATTTAGAATTTTGTAAAAATACAGCAAGTAAATAATTTGTATTTTTGGTCAAGCTGATGAAATGATTACTGTTTTTTTTTGCAAAATACATTTTTAAACCTAAAAAATAAACAGGCAACAGGCCCTACCTAAAGGGTTATTTCGGATTTGCCTGACCTTAACTTAAAAATGTACAAAAATGTTTCTATATTTTATTTAAAAAAAAATAGTTGTAAAGTGTGAAAAAATGCAAATAATATTAGGACACTAAAATGCATTAAAACCGCAAGGACATATACAAACGTTAATTGTAATTAACTTTCGAAACAATTATATGTAATATGGAGTAATAGTTCGAGAATTTTTTGCTGGCATTTTGTGCCTTGCATTGCTTAAAAAACTAAAACAGCTGAAAAGTAAGATAAACGGTAAAAACACACAAAATACCTCCGCCGCAAAAAGAGCAAGAAACATAAGGTAAGTGTTTAAAATTGGCCCCTTTTCTGTTACCTTCCAAAATATCAGGGAAATTGACAAATGTGACAAAAAATCTTTTTGACCGACTTCCCAAAAGAAGGAGGTACTCAATTCGTCGATATATTTTTTGTTAAAATTTATTTAACCGTAATCTTTTTAAGAATAACGCCATCTCTGTTTGAAAAAAGGAAACAAAAGTCGAAAATTTATTTCATTCATATAATTTCACAGGTCATAAAAAAGCCCCCTGGGATAGAAAATCTTGACATGAGAGCCATAGAGGCCATCGTAAGCATAAATATGATAGTAAGTGACTATATGATTTTTTAACTTTTTAAATTTTTTTTAACAATTGTATTAAAACATTTTACTATTACATAGTACACAGGGTGATTCTTAACGGACGGATCAACGGTTTTGTGGAGTTAGAGGACTTAAATAGCTATTGTTTAACTTCACAAAACCATTGATTTGTCCGTTGAATCACCCTGTAATATTGAAAAAGGAGTAGACAGACATCTTAATTCAAATTAACTCTGACCTCTGAAGGAAGAGATTTCCCCTTCCTTGCTTCTTAATCGTCTTGTTATCTCTGTAATGAAATTTGTTTCTATTAGTTATTCCAGTAAGTTTACATGAAAACATATTTTGTTAGAGCGACCGCACACCTTTGACTAAACTATCGCACGATAGTTGTGCGATTGTCGATTGTTTCGCAGTCAACTGTTTTGTTGTACAACTAAAAATTAAGTGCAGTTCATAGCTCATATAATCAAAGCGAGACTAAACAGTTGTGCGATAGTTTAGTTTCAGGGCGCGCGCTCTTAAACTTTATATATAGAGAAGTCAAATAACCAATCTTACAGATTGTGTAAAGGAAGAAATATTTTCGTACAGTGGTAGTGTCCGCTTTAACACCTTAGCACTGCAGGGCCGGACGCCCGGTGTAATACCACGACCACACATAAGACAGGCGTGAAATGGAAGCAATTCCGTGTTTCGTCTGATGAGTGTGATGCCAGAGGCCTAATTTAAATCCCTTTCTCTTTACCACCCTTTTCTTATAAGGAGAGGATGGGAAAGGGAAGTGGATTTGACAGAGGAGGAGATACATAGGAAGGGGAAATATCCTCTTCATGTGCATCTCTTCCTGTCGGATAAGGTATGCAACGCATCTGCAATTGCGGATGTCTATGGGCAGCGGTCGCTTCGTCATTTTGGCGGATTCAGGTGGCCGCTTGCTCGTTTGCCACCTTTTGTTATTAAAAAAAAACATTAAATTAATTGTCTCCCTTTTTAACATGTTTTTAATTATTTTGTTATAAATGCGAAATTTAATTACAGATGACTCGTCCAGGAAACCAACGGAGAAGACGGAAACTAAGACAAACGAAGAAAAAAGGTCAGTATAATATACTCTTACTAATATTATAAAATATAAACTAGCTGTTCCCGTGCGGCTTCATTCACATGGAATTGTGAAAACTTTATTTTATTGTGTACCTTTGTCAAATTATCAATAGAAAACGCTTCCTTGATGTTGGCAGCAACATGGTCCCTTTCCCACATTAGGGTTTTTATCCAAAATATTTACCCCCTAAGTTTAATGGCGTGAAAATATATAGCCTAAAGCGTGACGTAAGTGTAGGGCTTTTTATTACAAAAAGAATTATTCAAAAATATGCTGTGATTGGTGACATGTTAGGCAACAAAGAAGTGTGTGTTTACGCTTTATTATATTAGCATAGATGTAAAAGTTTAGATGGATATTTGGTAGAGTTTGTAGCCTAAATAGCTGAACGGATCTCGATGAAATTGGGCATAGATGTAGAGGATAGTGACTAGTCACTTTTGTTTTTGTTTTTAACTCCACGCGGACAGAGTCGGGTGAAAGCTACTGCATATGTGAAAGTGAAGACGATTGTATTTCTCAAAGTATGTTATTGTTTACAGGTCGCCCCGATGTGAGGATAAACAAGATAAAAAAACTATGTCAAATAAATAAATAATAAATTGTTAATGTCATATTTTATTGTAGTTTTATTTTATACACTTGCCACAAAATATTTAAATACGCAAATACTAAAACACTCAAAAATGCCTCACATTTATCACAATATTAATCTAATAACGCATGTAACTGCGTAATACGGAGAAGCTTTAATTTTGGTTAGCGGAAATTGAGGTAGACGCTAGCGTCATATGTTACATGAATGTGTCGGCTCGCCCGGTGCAATTACACGACCTTACAAGACAAGCGTGAAGTGGAAGCAATTCCGCGTACAGTCAGATAAGTGTATGTGCTGGAGCCGTAATTTTTGTACATTTCCTTCCCTATCTGTTTTTTAAAAGGAGAGAATGGAGAAGACGCAGGAAAGGGAAATATCTTTTATGTGCTTCTCCGTCCATTTTTTTTATATAAAATAAGGTGACAAACGAGCAAGCGGCCACCTGAATCCGTCAAAATTGCGAAGCGACCGCTGCCCATAGACATCCGCAATTGCAGATGCGTTGCCTACCCTTATCCGAAGGAGGAGGAGACGCACATAAAGAAGATATTTCCCCTATGCATCTCCTCCGCCGTTAAATCCACTTCCTGTTCCCACCCTCTCCTTATAAGAAAATGGTGGTAAAGAGAAAGGGACTTAAATTAGGCCTCTGTCACCACACTCATCAGACTAAACACGGATTTGCTTCCATTTCGCGCCTGTCTTCTGTGTCTTCACAAATAAGGGTACACTTCTTCACAAATAGGATGTCTACGGGCAGTAGTCGTTTCGCTTTATCGTCGAATTCATGAAGCCACAAACTCGTTTATTATTAAATCATGTAAAAAGTTAAACTAGAGAAACAATCTTTGGCTAAAGAAATAAGTGTTTTTAACTTTGAGATTAACTTTGTTTTGAGATAAACGATACCTCTGATGCCAGAAGTTTAAGTTGTTTTAAGTAATTAGATACTTGGAGAGTGTTTTTGCTTCTTAAACGGATTAAAAACTTCGCAAGACAACTATAAATCTCTCCTTTGTCGTTTCAATAACAAATTGTTGGACGGTTTCGAGTTTTTTTAGTATAGCTTTAAACCACCGAACTTTATTTACACTTTTGATCACTTATAAAAAAATATAAGATAAAAAAGCAAGATTTCCGTTTTTGGGCAAACAAATTAGTCATTAATTAGGTAAACATTTTTAAAGCATAACCTAAAAAGTCAGCAAAAGTCGAATTAAAAGTAAAAATATTGTTAAAGAAATCATTAAGACCATTGAAACGTAAAATTAAACTTTGATATTGGAATTACAGTTGAGAATCTGAAAGGAAATGAAAATGCGAGGAAATATAATTAACTTTTTCTCACCGAATCAAGATATGCGGAAAACGTTGTAAAAATTATTACAAATTTTCTTAATAGAATCTTTGCTATTAATTATTGTAAGGGATATTTTTTATTTTTATTCTGTATCTGTACGTTTTGCGCGCCTAAATTACTTAAGTTTTCATTTGTATAAAGTAAATAAACAATTAAAAACTTAGTAAATAATATTCAACCTTACACTAACATCGATAAATCCAGACGATTTTCTCGGAGAACATGAATTCCAAAAACTTTATCACGATAAATCGATTTTCGTTAGTACGTTAGAGCAGTCGGATTAAATCTTAATCCTTACAAAGCTTTACTCGGTTTACAAATGCTATTGAAATTTCAACATGTCGGCAAACCGTTTCTACCGTGTCCATTTCAAACGTATCGCCCACTATTGACAACGTCGCAATTCGGGACCTCATTCAATATGTACAGACTGCAGACCAATTTATTGGTAGGAATTTGTTATAGGTAAGACCTGACCAATATTTTATAGGTATTTAATATAGTTTATAGAGATACTAGCATTTGCCCGCGACTTCGTCCGTAGTGAATTAAAAAACAAAACAAAAGTGAGTAGTCTATGTGTTTGTTCTTCCAGAATAATCTGGAAGAACTATAAACCATAACTAAAAATGGTAATTAGATTTAAAAAGTTATACAAATGTTCATCATCATCATCATCATCATCATCCACTTGCTCTTATCCCTTACGGAGGGTCGGCACAGTATGTGCTGCTCTTCCATACATCTCTCAGCCGTCGTATCTGAATTCACTCCTTTCTTAAGCATATCCTCTTTCACACAATCCATCCATACTTTCTTCGGTCTTCCTCTACCTTTGTAGCCATCCACATTCATTCTTAACACTTTCTGGTTCACAAATGTTCAATTTATTAATTTTCTGTTTTGTAACAGAAATGTTTATGTTAACTGAGTCGACATTTAACATAGAAAATCCATTTAGGTAAGACTCCCCTTCATTAATGAACCACGAGGAAGTGGTAGTTAATGTAATTTGACTCGGGAAATTATAATAAGATCAATATTCATTAACTTGTAGTGATTTGCGCGTTTGTCGAATTATTTAATTAATGTAGGGAAAATTATTATCAAACTAGCTTTCGCCCGAGACTCCGTTCGCGTGTTATTAAAAAAATGAAAGTGAGTAGCCTATGTGTTCTTCCAGACTATCCTCTACATCTATACCAAATTTCATCGAAATCCGTTCAGCCGTTTAAGCTACAAACTCTAACAAACATCCATCTATCCATCCATTCATCTAAACTTTCGCATTTATAATATTAGTATGATTGGTATGATTAGTATGATAATAGTTTTCGTAGAAGTATATACTGACTCCGTCCGCGTGGAATTAAAAAAAAACAAACATTAAAAAAGCCTATTCTACTCACAGAAAAATTACCTTTCTAAGGGTGAAAGAATTTTTAAAATCGATCCAGTAGTTTTTGAGCCAATTACAAAGTTTTCCTCTTTGTAATATTAGTACATATAACGTATTTATCGAATTATGAAAATAAACAAAATAACATTAGTTCCAACTAGTAGTAATAGTACGTACTATTTGATATATACTTGTATCTACACATTACCTAGATGTTTTATATGCTAAATATGAAAAAACCCGAATATTTTCCCATTCGGGAATTTTCCCCGGGTTTTTCCCTGTTTTTCCCACGAGAGGGTTTTTTCCGGGTAAAATCCCATCTCTATCCGTAACACTGTAACACACACAGCCAAAACATACAGAATTGAGTACCTCCTTTTTTTAGGAAGTCGGTCAAAAATAAAACACTGTTTCAAATTATTTTATGTTTATTCATAATTATTATTTATTGTTTGCATTTGTACGATTAGAGCCTTATCCAGTGAATGTTCATAACTAACGTAAGTAATTGACGTTTTAAGCTCAATTTACACTTGGCCAGTACAGTTGGAAGGTTGCGACAAGTCGTAGATTGTATGCACTTACAGGCGCCAGTCATCGTTCCTAGCCAGTAGTTTGACAATCAAATTGAGCTACTGACCAACCTACTAACTGTACTGGAATAGTGTGAACCGCTTTTAATCTATTCTACTAATTTGCATTGTAAATATGTAAAAAAAGCACAACTATTAATCAGTCTTAACGTTTTTACATTAATAAAATATTATTGTATAATGAAATTCAATGGAAATAAGATGATTTGTTTTAACATTTTTCTGGCTTTGTTTCATTCATTGCCTATTTTTTTTGTTGTATAAACACGTTAAACGCCATCAATTTTTTTTATACTGTTCCGTTGAAGCCACAGGATCCGGTGACCGGCAAGAAAATATCTGTTCAGGCCATAGAGGTTTCGGGTGACCGCGAGTAAGACTAAAGTTCGAACTGCTTGCTTTGATGGTGGTCATCGTTTAACCCAATAGTCGTGTACAATGTGACCGGGGCGTGGTCTTAGAGAACGCTATCTTTGCCTTGATTCGTGAAAACACGGTGTTGTATATAAAAACATAGAAATTATTGTATTGAGTAGATGAAGAATTTATTACTATAGTTCTATCAAATAAGAACATAAAACAATGTTTTGAATTTTTGACAAAATGTAACAGTTGAGTGCCGGCACATGGTGTCCCTCATGGCGTTTAACGTGTTAGGATTTTTTAAATTTATGATATAACCATGTCTGTTTATTATTACTCTATGACGACAGCCTTATAAAGGTGAAATTGTGTAGACCGGTTTGTTTGTTTCATTTCCATTGAATTTCACTATGTCTCTTATGTGATCTAATGGCTACCTAATTTACTTTCCAGTCTACTTAAAAATTGTTTAATTTCTTCAATATCTAGAGACATTTGATCTATTTTCACATTTAATTTATCCACTGTCGATTCTGAATTTTCTATAGACGTATTAATTTGCTCTTTGACCACTTTCATTTCGTTATCTACAGAATTTAAACGTTTCATAACGTTGTCGTGTCGCAATTTGTATTTATCTGTTGCATTTTCTGTTTTATCAACTTCAGTCTGTTTCTTCTGTTCTCTATCTTGTTTTGTTATTATTTCATACATTGCGTTTAATTTTTCATTAAACATCTGCAATCCCAGTTCATCTTCTCTTTGTTTCTGTTGTATTTGTGCTTTATTCATTATTGCGTCACGTATTCTTGTCGGCATCACCTTGTTGTGACGCCATCTTGGTTTTCCCGGGCACAACATAATAGTACCTATAACTCTCCGTTTCGTTTTAATTTGATTATTTATTCTTGTTGGTAGAATTTTATTGAAGAATTTATTATAAACAAGATTGTCTAATGTGCTTAAGAATTCTACTTGTTTGGCTAATCTCCTAATATTTCCTAGTACTTCTAAATCATTTATATCGTTAACAGCGACACCTACTAGTAGATTCATTAGTACTATTGCTGCTAGGATTAGGAATATTAGGAAGACAACTCTCACTATTATTAGTGAAGTGGCAAGATCTTTGGAATGTTCTGCGTCAAATAATGCTACGTAATCGAACTCTGACGTCATCATGACCATAGTTTTGACGAAAGCTGCCCATGGACCTTCGAATGGTATTTGAGAATGGAATTGTATCATAAAACTTAATGCAAATCCAATTATTAAGAACGCAAACGTCAGTATTATCTGAAAAGGAAAAAAAATATATTAGGAATTGTTCACGCATCAATTTGCATAAATAAGGGCTTTTATGTACTTAATTTTAACCTTTCTTCAATCCTTTACGTTATTTATTGAGTGGATATTCTAAGATCAGGATTAAGGTTATAACAAGACTTGCTGTGGCTCGCGACTTCGCTCGCGTGAAAAATATACCATATATTACTTAGCGATAACGTAGCTTTCTAATGGAATTTTTTAAACCGGCCCACTAGTTTTTTTAGTTACATACAAAAATACAAATAATTCCTCTTTTATAATATTAGTATAGATATATTTTCTAGATTCTATATGTATTGTTGTTACAATCTTTTTCTTAGTCCATTCAACCTTACTAATTGTATTTCATTAAAATGTCTATTAAAAATATCCTTACCCGTATAACATTTGAAGCGACTTTCCCAAACATTAATACATAGTACCCTCCATTGGGGAACCTCGATAGTAGGAACATTAGTTCTAACCACGACAGCAGCAGCGCTAGTGTCGCCACGTGACGTAACCACTCCGCAGTCAACCATGATGATACCATCACGGCTGCTGGTAGAATCATCGCCAATCCTATAGATCCAAATTTAACCCATGTCTCTAATTGAAAGAAATATCTCCTACTTGTTATATTCATGTATAGAAGTTCCTGAAAGAGATAAACGTGTTAAGAGAATATGATTTAAGATTTGTATAACCAAAATGAGTTCTTGCGTCACTTAACTTCTATTCTACAGGTCTTGGGTTTGAATCCCGCCGTATCAATGCAAGGGTGGATCCAGATTTGGCGCCAGGGGGGGACACAAAGACCAATCACCCCTGGATCCGCCGTTGTACCAATGTGATTTTAGAATTTAATATGTACATAATTTAGCCGTGAAGGAAAACATAATGATGTCTACACATATCGGCGAAGAAATTAGAAGATATGTGTGAAGTCAACCCGTACTAGACCAGCATGGTTAGCTATGGCCTAGTTGCGTCTAACTTAGGGTAGGCTCCGAGCCCCTCAGTGGGGATGTGTAGTGAGATAGTGATGTGTGATAGAAGATACGCTTAAGGGAGTGAATTCAGATATAGATTAGAGACGTATGGAAGAACAGCACTCTGCCGAAGAGGGCAAGCTGATGAAGACCAGTTGACTTACCTGAACGAGAATTAGAAAGATCGTTGAGTAAACGATGTAACCCCAGATATTTTGGTTCAACCACATAGGTGCTGTCTCTTTTGTATCCATGTAGAAGAATACAGATACAATAAATATAGTCAAAGATGTCACGAATAGAGAATATACCGCAATAATTGTGTAGAAAAATGGTAATAGCGCCTTCCATTTTAAGTATAGAAAACTTTCAACTAACGGATGAACCAATAATCTTTTCTGTCCGTATCTATTTCCAGTTGCAAGCAGAGCTTCTATTACTTTCATCTGTTCCATTTCGCATATAGTCGGCATTAATATTCTATAGTCGACAGTTATCTCACAATTGGAATCTTTAAAGTTTTGACAATTTGAAGAAATGTAAGAATCGAATACATCTTCTAAGAAATCTGTTGGTTTTGATAGATTGTTGATTATCATATCTATGGCTGTTCTTCTGTATTTTTTTGGACCATCTGTGTAGCCTGATAGATCACCGCCTTCTTGGAGTAATAGTGTGATAACATCACGACTGCCATGGTGACTGGCTGTGTGCAAAGGAAACCATCCCAAACTATTGACTTCGTGAATAGTTGTCTTATCAAATTTCAGTATAACATTAGCTATCTCTATATGATTGTATACAGCAGCTATGTGCAACGGAGTTGAACTTCCATGGGGACTGCTTGTTGTTCGTAGTCTTATATCAGCATTCTTCGATAGTAGAAGTTGTACGCATTTCGAATGGTTGTTAGCGACTGCAAAATGTATAGGTCCGAAACCTCTTCTGTCACCAGCTGTTAGAGAATTGATCATAGTACGAGTAACATTATCGTCGTATTCTAGAAGAGTTTTCAGTATATCTAGACAGCCATTTTCCGCTGCAACGTGGAACACATTGACATCTCCTGGCATTGTTAATTTTATTGAAGCACCTTCTTGTAGTATAGCTTCGACACAGTCAAGGTTTTCGTTAGTAATAGCTTTAAATAAAGGCGTCTCGCCTTCTTCGTTTTGACAATCAATGAAATTCGTTTGTTTTGCTAAGCTGAGAATCTCTGTTAGGACATCTAAATTGCCAAGAGCTGCTGCTGAATGGATTGGAGTTTCCCCATCATTTGCCTGTAATAAATATAATATTAAATTATAGTAAAGCGGTTACTGTTATCGTTATAAGGCTTGAAGAATCATACTTGAAAGATGTACCATTAGACCTTGTTGATTATCAAGATTATGGATTAAATAAATAGACGTGTATTCATAATCAACTTGCCCTTACCCCTTATTGAGGGTCCCCACAGTATATGCTGCTCTTTCATACATCTCTATCAGCCGTCATATCAGGATCCATTCCTTTCTTAAGCATATCCTCATTCGCACAGTCCATTCATACTTTCTTCGATCTTTCTCTACCTTTGTTGCCATCCACATTCAATCTTAACACTTTCAGGTTTATGTCCCCATCTCGTCGCATAACATGTCCATACCACGCTAACCTTTTGCTTCCCAATTTCTTTATAAATATACATGTATTGTCAGTCATTATTGAGTAAGAATAAGGATATATGTTCAAGTATACCTTTATCGTGACGTCAGCCCCAGCCTCAAGAGCCACACACACGCCAGGCACCCAGGCTGCCTCCACTGCCGCTTGGAGTACAGTGTGGCCATCTTTGTCTTTCACGTCCACCATTGCCATTAAAGGATCAGCGTCTTTATAGTTGTGATTTGCTAGAATCTAAGAATAGACACAGATGTTACTCTTCAAAACATTACAGCTGATAAAAATAAACTAGTTATAGCTCGCGACTTCGTCTACGTGAAATCAATAAATAGTAAAAAAATATTACTTAGCGATAACGTAGCTTTTAAATGGTGAAAAGATTTTTGAAATCGCCAGTAATTTTGGAGTTATTTCAATACATACAAAATATAGATTTTCTTCTTTATAATATTAGTATAGATGAAAGCAAACCTGGAGAGCTTCTTCTAGTTCCTTCTTAACGCACACATGTAATGGAGTTTGTCCTGAAGAGTTTAAACACTTGACAGAGGCTCCAGCTTGGAGCAGCTCATTAATACTGTCGATATCATCAAGTTCGACTGCAGTGTGCAGTGGCGTGTCTAATTTGTTGATACCTTTAGTCTTCATAGTATTGTGTTTTCCACCAGCATTTAGTAACATTTGCAGCACGGAAAGGAAACTGAAAGCAGATATTACGTAAAGTCTAGTATTCAGTATAAGAGTCCTTCTTAAAGAGTTAATCCAGTCCAAAATTGCACTCCAGGAGTAATGAAATTATACGATTACTAGCTTTCGCCCGCGACTCCGTTCGCGTGGAATTAAAAAAAAAAACAAAAGTGAGTAGCCTATGTGTCCTTCCAAACTATCCTCTACATCCATACCAAATTTCATCGAAATCCGTTGAGTCGTTTAGGCTACTAACTCTAACAAACATACATCCATCCATCTAAACTTTCGCATTTATAATATTAGTATGAAATATGATTAAATGCAAATTTGAACCTCATGTTTATTGTAACAAAAGTTTCTTTAGTTGATTGTATCCAAATTGCATTGGTATTTTAAGAAGTACGTAATAATCTTACTTCTTCTTAATAATAGTCTGGTTAAAGTAATAACCATAACCGGCAACATCAAGAGCGGTCCTTCCAGCTTCGTCACAGATGTTGGGGTCTGCGCCCGCAGCCAGCAACAGCCGCGTGCAGTGCATGCGGGCGCAGGCCGCTGCCACATGCAATGGTGTCCAGCCAGGTTGGAGGAGAGGTAACTAGAAAAGATAGAGATATTACTGTGTTCGATTGAAATACAAATAAACATGTAGATTTTTCTAAATTGTATGATTCAGAACCAATGAATGAAGTACACGACCTTCGAAATTCGCTGTATATGAAAGGTATGTTCAATTTCTTCTCTAGTAATTTGATTCTAATTTTAGTTGTAATCAAGGAGAGCTTATTTTCACGCAAAGGTTATTCTTGCTATTTTACAGATACATATACTTGGCTATATACAATACTATACTAAATTAGCTGAGAAACAATCGACAATCGCACAACCGTTGTGCGATAGTTGAGTCAAAGGTGTGCGCCCGCTCTGAAGCTAAATACACGTCTTCACTTGTGCTCAGTGCGATCATTTTAGTTTATTAAATAGTTAAATTGTTAACTTACAGATCCTTCAATATTCCTGCAGTTGTGATCGATGTTGTCCTTCCACGTTTTAGGCAGTAATGTTCTCACGTCGCCTAAATCACAGCGTATGTTCACCATGTCTCTGGTCTTTGGACACATCTTCTTGACATCTTCTTCAGCATCCGAGGACATATCGCTTTCAACACGATCTTGCATTTCTAGAAGAAATTCCTTCTTGATCATTTTCCTTTAGAAGATGTGGTTAACAAATGTTCAAAATAGGTCAAGGGGTTCTATTGCCAAATGACAAAAATAAGGCTGTCGCCATCATTAATCTTTGAAAATACAAGAACATCAATATGTTTTGCGTTTCAGTAGTGGAAACATCATTGTTTTCCGAATGGGATAGGCAGAGAGCGTCGGTGTTGGGTTCGAATCCCGCCATGTACCAATGTGATTTTTGATTTTTCGAATTTTAATATGTACATAATTTCCCCGACGTTCTTACGGTGAAGGAAAACATCGTGTTGCCTGTACATATCGGCGAAGAAATTCAAAGATATGTGTGAAGTCAACCAACCCGCACTTGGCCAGCGTGGTTGACTATGGCCTAGTCACCCCTTATTAGGGTAGGCCCCGAGCCCCTCGGTGGGGACGTATACGTCTATATATATCACTATAGTGAGCTGGTGATGTTGATGTCCAATAAATAGGAAGTGAAACAAAGAATGTATTAACAATTTTTCCTCTGGTAAATACATAAGACTATTAAGCAAGAATTTACAACTACAAAGTTGTAAAGAATTGCAAAGTTCCGTTTAATCCCCTAAAGCAGAAATTCCAATTAAATGCTTCATGGAATGGAAACTTTTTTGCAATCTTATATTTTTCTTTTTCGAATGAATCTGTCTCGTTTAAAGTTGTCAATTCAGAAGATTGTGAACTTGGTGATTTTATATCGTATATTTGAAATTGTTTTGATAAAAAGATGGAAATTGCACAGAATTTTATGGTAATTATATCATAGATTAATTAAAAGTCTTTAAACTAGAATCGATACAAGAAATACGAAGGCGTTGTTACCTAAACGCTAGGGGAAAGTTCTTCTAGAAGAGTCTTTTTTGTTTTATGGCATTATAAAATCTAATCTGATCTTTCTCGATCTTTAAAGGGTCCAGGAGCCACAAACACAATGGCTCGGATAAACGAAAATGGGAATGTAGTCGGCACAATTATCGTTAATTGCGAAGGCTTTCCAGAAACTACGACACTCGACAGTTTGACGGCTGCCACATATTCTACACATATGAGAAATCTATCTCACTTCGCAAACAATGCGCTTAAAGAAATTGTAAGATTTTAAAAGTTATATAAATGTTTTGTAGATTTGACCAGATGCTAGGATTGATGCAATTGTTTGGTTGGAGTTTTAGATTTTTTAAAACTGGTTTTACAATCTTTTCTCTAGATTTTATTACGATCCATGTCCTTCATGTCATGTCCAGTTTTACTGACTGACTCCTTTTTGTTTTTTACTAAATTATAGTGGTCATTATCTGTAGTTCTTCCAATAACCAACACATAAACTGTAACAGGATGTAATAGACGAACTGATGGTCCTGAGGATGGTCTCGAAGAAGACGGAAGCAGTAGTTGTGCCGGATAAAGAATTTCATTTGATTGTACTTATGAGAAGACGTTAAATATATTTACTATGCCAAGATACATCGTTATTTCCTTTTTAATAACCAGTTTTTAGTCAAGAAATAAGGTCCTGAAGAAGCTATACTTGACATATTTTTAAACATTTCGTAATATTTCATGCCAGTGCGTTTAGTGCAGTTCCCATAGTAGAGATCTGTTTTTACAAAAACTGTTCTGGCAAAGTCGGGCATGTATTACAGCTAATTGATTGGCTATGGATGAACTGAACTGTTTAATTTTTACCATCGCGATCAGGGCAGTATAGTCAATTGTTCCGTACAATATACATTGAACCTTCTCTCACCTTCTGGAAAGTCCAGCAGTATCGCGACTTGTCTAGAATTCCCAGCGAACGCAGCGAGATGTAGGGGAGTACGTCCCAGTCTGTCTAACCGGTGCTTCTCTGCTCCAAACTTGATGAGATAACCGAGCGCATCTCCCCCGACCATAGCAGCTATATGACACGCCGATACAAGGTCTAGACGACATGTTGCGTTTGGATTTGCTCCCGAGTGGAGCAACCTGAAAAAAACAAAAGAATGGTGTTTATTGGCTACGGAAGGTTCATGTACGTAAGTACTCGCCCGTTCGAATTCAATCGTAATGAAAAATTGTACTGGGATTTATTGTCTATGAAGTTTGGAAAGTTTTAATGTTTAAATAGATAATTCACAGATGTTTATTTTTTAGTAAGTCTGTGAAATTATTTAAGTTGTTTTGTAATTCTCTATTCCTTTTGAATTCGACTAATTATTTTAACTTTGCCTACGGAAGGAAGCCTGCCTAAGGAAAACCTTGTCATAACTGGCACATCAGGAATAAGAGTACTCTTCTTCCTGAACTGAAGAGTCATACCTTTCGACTTCTTCCACTTCATGGTTCTCTATTGCTTCTAGCAGTTCGGTGTTCAATCGTCTGAGTCGACGGTCGCTCCGTCGCCACTTCCTCGGCAGTATATCTTCTGTTTCTGCAGCTGGAGTTACATCTGGGGTTGACATAACTGATGGTGTTGAATCGTAGAAATGCAGCTTTTGGATTTCAGGCCTGGAATAAATTGATTCATGACTTAGTGGATTCCAGCAGCTTGCTATACCACCAAGGAATCCCGAGCCGATCCTTAGTCGCTCTGCCTAATGATTATTGTGTTGGTTTAGTTTGTATAGACTAAATGTGTCACAGAAAATGTAACTAATAAGTTTGTTTTTTATAATACAAGGTCACAAACTAGCAAGCGGCTGAATAAATCCGTCGAAGGTGCGAAGCGAGCGCTGCCCATAGGCGTTGCCTAACATTAATCTATTCTACGGAGGTGGAGACGCAAATTAAGAGGATATCTCCCCTTCTAAGTGTAAAGGGAAAGGGACTAGAAACTTTTCTTTACAAGATTGTCAAATGAAACAAATTTCTTGTAACAGAACTTGTTTAAGAGTACGCATTATCGATCGATTTTGATTTACGCTTGTTTATAATGTGATCAGATTTAACTAGAGGAGACTAAATAGTGCTGTTTACTTACATCGTATTTACGAAGCCGAGTTGGTGTGGTCTGTTGGGTCGAGGGCGGTCATGTGGATTGTTTATACTGATCAGTGGCTGCAAATTATCTCTGTCCTCATTGTAACCTTCCTCAACGTCTGGAATGAAAATAACATTGTTTATAAGCATTGTCAGTCGATGAACTGCTGCTAAAAGGGCCCTCTCCTTTTTAGCAGCTACAATTATGGTCTTAATAGAACTTTTTACAACTTCATCGAGTCTTTTAGGAAGGGGAGGGCACTATCCCCTTACTACTATGTGAAGAAGAACTTTTTTTGTGGAAATCTTCAAAAGATACCTTGCCTTTTGGGGGGGAAGGCAGGGTTATGAAGTATTTGACCTACTAAAATCCCCTCGGTGGCCATCCTCTAGTGACATTGACGAAGGTTCCGGGATCTTCAAGGAACACATCGGAACCGATCTAAAGAAGGCCTAGGTCATACTTAACCATACTTAAAGATTGTTAAATCTTATTAAGAAACACATTTTTTTATATGCTTTAATTTGTTTTAATGAAAATCTCTTTATATTTAAAAAGGATAACGTATTTGTAAAGGTGTTTGGGCAATGAAAACTTAAATGACATTTTGTAAGCATTAGGTAAAAATTAGATAAAAAATGGACCGAATTTTGCACCTATGATAATATTTTCACATGTAAACATGCCAAGTATGACATCATCTCAAGGACTTTTCCCGCTTCACATAAAGCCGTGATTGTAAATGCAAATATCGATAGCTCCTACATACAATATCGCATCTTTAAAATAAAAAAATTACAAGAAATAGTATCAGATACTGATGACTAAAATTTATAGTACTTGTTTTTAATTTTTAAATTTACACAGATATTGGTGTTTATCAAGTTAATTTAAAACAAAGAAGATGAAGGTAAATCGAAAAGTTGTGTCTTAGATAGTCTACATAAGAGCCATTGAATCTGATTTTACTGTGGAAACCCACTGCAAGACATTCATCGAAAAATATTGAATGTCTCTTTTATTCCCTTTGAAAAACAGAGACAGCAATATTTTGGTACATGTTTATCGCTAGTGGAAAAGCAAAGAATATTTATATAATCTCAAACATAATAACAGATTCTTTAGATATTTTTATAAATGTGGCTTTCTAGAAAACAAAAGTTCATTGAACTTTGACAGTTGAATTCTTTTTATACAAATATTTGGAATCAAACATGCAGTTTTTGGCTAGGCTAGGATAAAATTACCGTCCGTTTTTACTGTTATAATATTATTTACATTATTACTAAAACATCTATCTTATATTCACAAAATTTAAAAATAAAGTAAGTAGCAAAATTTAAAAGACACACAATGATATAACCACTTGCCTTTATTGAACAACGAAAAAACTCCTTTCGTGCACATTTTTAACTATTTATACTCTCGATTCGTTATAGTTACATTTTAACCTTGTATTTAACTGCAATCAATGAAGTTATTTTTAACACACAGAGTACGGACAAGGAAAAACACTGAATAAATCGATTTTTAATATTGGCACTCACAACATTACAAAAAATACAGAACAGAAATCTGAATCACTAAAAAAAAAACAAACTGGCTGGTTATAAAATTAAAAAACCAATTGGCACTATGACGTGTGTTGGGTTTTATTAAAAAAAATCACACTGTCTCACCGCGGACACGTAACGTTTTTCACGACGTATCTCGTGTGATAACAGATCGTTCTTGGTTATGCTAACATATTCAAGGTCGAATTAAAACGGTATAAACTTAAAACGATCTTCGTGAAGATAAAATTCTATTAAATAAATAAAAAAAACCGTTGAATATATTCGAACGATGCTTTGAGAAACAATGCAATTGTCAAACTAACCTAAAAATGATTTTCCAAAACCTAACGTCGCTCGAGACAAATATTTGTTCAGACACTGGTTTGTACAAATATCTTGGTACTTCCCCGGTTTACGATTTAATGACTAATAAGGTAATAAGGAATCTATCTATATTTCTATACTATTATAATAAAGCCTAAACACAAACTTCTTTGTTGCCTAAGATGTCAGCAATTACAGCATATTTTTGAATAATTCTTTGTTTAGTAAAAAGCCCTGCCCTTACGTCACGCTTTAGGCTATATATTTTCACGCCATTAAACTTAGGGGTAAATATTTTGGATAGAAATCCTAATGTGGGAAAGAGACCATAAGTTGCTACCAACATCAAGGGAGCAAGATTGCCAACGTTTGTCATGTCATGTCATTTTGACATTTTAAATTGATAATTTGACACATGTAAACAATAAAATGAAATGTTCATAATTTCATGCGGATGAAGCCGCACAGGAACAGCTAGTGTTATTATAAAATTGCTTTGGTATTAAAAATGTAGATGAAATTGTTCGTATTTTAAAAGAATGCTTTAAGAATATTTAGACAGACCTCGTATTTCTGACATTTCCATGTTCTGTTTCACATTAATTTCAACACACTTGCATATCGTGTAGGTTCACACGCGAAAATACACGTTTATTGTACTGTTATCAATATCTTGAATTTGTTCGTTTGACGTAGATATAGGAATTGCTAGATATGCCTTATCCTTTGACTATAAAAAGACAGGATCTGTTTAGCGCAATTCCCAGTCAAAAATAAAGCATAATTCTTGACCTTGTGTGTGCTTAGTTTGTGGTTTTAATTACAAACTCAATATTCATGACATTTGAATTCAACGAAAATGTCTGCACGATATACACATTGTTGATTATGAATTTTGTGTTTGAAAAAAGTAGCCGAAATTTAATATAGTGGTTCTTTGCTTAGTCCATTTCTTTATAGTCTAAGTTCATATCTTATTGACATTATATACCATTAAAGATTAGATAATCTATTTTAGATACGAAATATGTTTATAACTGTTTAATACAGATTTAATGGTTTTCAATTAAGTATTAAAAAAATAAAATAAAAAAAAACATACAGACGAATTGAGTACCTCCCTCTTTTGGGAAGTCGGTCAAAAAAGAAAGAATTATGAAGCAAATTAATTAAGGAATTAACAAAGTAGTATCAAAATATCAACAATAACGAAGATTTACGTCACTTGTCTCTAACAATTTTATATAATAACAATTTTTTTTTTTTTTTTAATTCTTCGAAGACATATATTCAATTGCTATAAATTATTTTAAAAATAGAATTATGAAGCGTCATGTTTGCATGTGTTATTAAAATTGTTAATTACGTGTTCTATCTTGATGTTAATACGCAGAAAACAATGGATTTCAATTATAGTTATGGTCGTTTGGTAACCTTGAAGGTTGGTAGCCGGTGTTTTGTTAGTTACGTTTTAATGTATATAACTAGAATTACTAGAAAACGTAAACAGTAATCAAATTTCCTACCAGGGACAAGAATATCAGTTAGGGATGAATAGAACAAATAGTTTAAGGTAATTTTCTCCAATAAAACCTACCTTTGAAAGCGCCATTGGCCTAACGGTTAAGGGACATACGATCGCGTGGTCGACGGTTCCCGCCATTTGATGTCGTCAAGCATGGAGCACAAAGCATAGAGTTTAGACGAGACAGTGACCACATATATTAGTGAATACAGAATAATATGTTAAAATTTGAATTAAAAAAAAAACGACTTTTAGGATATCAGCTAAGGCACCAGTTAGTTTTAACTGTATAGCTTCGCCCACGTGGAAATAAAAAAAAACAGTAATACCTCCTAAATACAACCTATGTTAGTGATAACGTAGGTTTTTATTAGTGTGGTAATTGTTTTTATACATAAAGAAACACAAATCCTATTTATAATATTAGTATAGATTTAAGAATATTTACCTTGAATCTTACAAATCTCCATATTGAAATAATGACACATGTACACAACTCTCCGTCTTCACTATAATGCTTGGCGTTACTACGCTATAGTGAAGTACTTTTGAGTTTGTCGAATTTTCCTTTAATAAAAATAATATAACTAAAAATGTCGATAAAATTGAGAATATAATTACATTGTTTTTGCAGCGCTAAATAATTTACAGCTTGTGTTTGTTAAAGTATATATTTTTTATTTATGTATAGTAGTTTTCAGTTGTCGACTAACTTTACGCGAGTCGCTGAAAACCTGTAGCAGCATGTCACGATAGGGCACTGCTCACCTCAGCCATGTTATATAAATAATACTCAGTATTCATTTGAAATTTCATATTTAAAACTCATTGCAGTCAACTATGGAATATTGAGATAAGTTATAATATCTCTTTGAAATTATATTTTTAATTGATTTTACTAAAGCTTACACTAAAATGATTATTTATTTCAATACAGAAGCTTACATCATCATCATCACCAGCTCACTATATGTCCCCACCGAGGGGCTCGGAGCCTCCCCTAATCAGGGGTGATTAGGCCATAGTCAACCACGCTGGCCCACTGCGGGTTGGTCGACTTCACACATATCTTTGAATTTCTTCGCCGATATGTACAGGCAACACGATGTTTTCCTTCACCGTAAGAACGTCGGGTAAATTATGTACGTATGAAAATTCGAAAAATCGAAAATCACATTGATACATGGCGGCGGGATTCGAATCCAAGACCTGTAGATTACAAGTCAAGTGCTTAAACCACTGAGCCACCGACGATCTAACATTATATCGACATTTTATTTTTAATACCTATGGTAAATAAGTTACAAGTGTGATCAAGTTCACATAGGTCATAATTTCCTCTGGCAGTCTATAATTATTATAATATTCTAGGCGTATGTCTCAGTACTATCCATAAATAATGTATAACGGAAAACTATAGGTTGAAAATATAAAGATTTAGTAAATCATAGTGCAAAATTTTTCAAAATACATATAACTGTTATATCGATAAAAATTATTTTGGTATACGTCTATAATTTATCGATAGTCTTGACAACACTATTATGAATAGTGGTTCAGAAGTATTTGTGGGAATTTCATTGTTCTGATATTCTTGGGTTTATTAAGTAGCATTACTCAGCCAACTTAGCAACTTATACTTAACTTCATAATTTGTCTAAATGATAATTTAAACACGTTCATGATTTAAAAACTTACGTATCAGTCATACTTCGTCTGCGTGAAATTAAAAAAATAGTAAAAATATAGCCTATGTTAGTCACTAGTGTTGCAGCTTTTTAATGGTGCAAGAATTTTTGAAATCAGTCCAGTAGTTTTTGAGTTACTTCAATAAACAAAAATCCATAAATACATATTTTTCCTCATTATTTATTGACAGGTATAAATTTGTTTTATTGTGCAGAGGAATTACCCGCATGTTCCTTTTTCCTGACCAAATTTACCTAACCTTTTTGTTGGACGGTTACTTTCCTCCGTCCGGGGCTCTGGAGGTGTTGGGCTATTGAAACACTTTCTTCTAGTTAATCATCATTATATTTAAAATATCTGAACCATATTTTATACAAAGTCTATTAGTCCTACAATGTTACTTGGTACGTGTCGAGATGTGAAGTCTATATATAAAAACATCAAATATTCAATTCTTTATAATTTGAAATATATTATTCTTTTTAGAATAATATATTTCAAATTATAAAGAATTGAATTGAAATTGAATTATTTAAAAACCATCCTCTGTGTGTACAGTGTTGCCTGCCAGTATACAAACATATAAAAACTCCAAAATTTTTATTAAATTATTTTTTTTTTTCGCTGTTTGGCAACTGGTTGTCAAAGATCAATATTTTTATCCCACTATCGCAACTAGTCAAGTTTTGGCGCTAGGGTGGGTATACTTTGCTTGTTTCATGCCATCAATCCCATGTTAAAACGATCAGCTAATGATTTCACGACAAAATAGCCAGCGCAAATTAATATCGATCTTTTAACAGTGGTAGTGCCCGCTTTAACATCTTAACACGAATTGGCCGGCACGCCCGGTGTAATACCACGACTACACAGAAGACAGGCGTGAAATGGAACCAATGCCGTGTTTCGTCTGATGAGTGTGGTACCGGAGGCCTAATTTAGGTCCCTTTCTCTTTACCACCCTTTTCTTATGAGAGGATGGGAAGGGGAAGTGGATTTGACGATGGAGAAGATGCATAGGAAGAGGAAATCTCCTCTTTATGTGCGTCTCCTCCTCCGTCGAATAAGGGTAGGCAACGCATCTGCAATTGCAGGTGTCTATGGGCAGCGGTCGCTTCGCCATTTTGGCGGATTCAGGTGGGCGCTTGCTCGTTTGCCACCTTATGTTATAAAAAAAAAAATTGTCATAAGTCCCGGTATTAACTACTGATATACACCAATTTCACTCTCGCGGATACCACTATCTGGAATTTGAAGGAATAATATTACTTGTAATAGTAGTAGGATGACCGGAAAATAAAAAAGTGCACTTACCCTATCGCTTACGAAAGTAGCAAAAAATATCCCTCTTTGACAACTAGTTACCAAACAGCGAAAAAAATCTTTTTATTTAACTGGTTAGGTAAATTTTGTTAGAAAAAAAGGAACTGTAGTATCTGTATTAAATAAGTTGTTGTTTTATAATCTGTATATTCTGTTTTCATTTAGAGGGTATACCCTATATATGAAATAACAGTCTTGTGCAATATGGCGTTTCATTACAGGAACAAGCCGAAGTACCGGTTGATAGTAACATTACACCGTGGGTTTACACCGACTACAAATATCTG